TCAAACTTATCCAAAAGAGTCCTGTCTCTATGAGATCCTCTTCAGTAATGCTTGTATCTTGGAGCCACTAATAGCACAAGGGATAAGCGAATAAGTACCTTAGGAAATAGCATCTCCCTTTGGATTTGAGACCTCTAGGATGGGTGACAGCCCACAGTCCATCAGCCCCTTCCATGAGAAAGTGCTTTCCTCTGCCAGCTGGCTCTGGAAACAACCACGGTGTGATCCTGCTGGCCTGGCTTTGGCCACGGGAGCTCAGCAGCCCAGGCAGGCTCACTGCAGCCACAGATAAAGCCACTGGTGTGCGAGGAGGGTTCAACCCTTCCAAAACTTTCTCGCCATTGGCAGAAGTTGCACTGGACACACTGATGAAGGAGGCTGTTAGGACAGTGCATGGAGGCAGAGGGCAGAGAAGCCCCGGGAACTCTTGCTAGCCTTTACAGACCTTCGCCAAACCGCTGCCTGCAAGCAGCCAAAGCAATTTGTTTCTGGCCAGGAGAATATTGGAGTTAGAAGCTAAGATGCTGGATCCCAAATGCTGGCTGGGATCTGCAGGCATCACGGTCACCCCTGCTTGCAAAGCTGGCAGCACAGGAGTAAACACCATTGCTGATCCAGTAGGTCCACTGGAGGCAAGATGAAGAAATACCATTTATCTCTGCACAAAGCAGAGCCAAATCCCATCTCCACACTTGGCAACTCATTACTGGAAAGATAAAACTGGAGGGAGCTTAGGCAAGATCAGGGCAGTGAATGGAGCTGGCAGAAAGGGAGATGGGTGTGCCAACAAGGGGAGCACACAGCTCACATGGGGATGGAGCAGCTCTCCTGCTCAGGGAGCCTTCTTGTGGTTCCTTCCAGCAGCCTGAACTCTGCCTGAAACAGGAGACAGTCTACAATGCAGAGCACCTTCTGCAAATGAACACTGCCCTCTCCTGCTCTCTCCTTCCCCGCTTCACTACGTCAGGTACCTGCTCCCAGCTACCTTAATGCTGTCACTGCTATGCTGAGCCCAGCAGCCAGGTTAAACTAAACCTAGAGACCAAAGAGAGAGGCACAAAACAGGTTAGTCTGGATGCCATTAACACAGGGCTTCGGCAGGAGGACTGCAAAAAGGAGAGGAACGGCCCTACTGTGTCCAGCCGGCTCCATCCTCCAGCACATGCTTAAGGAGGGGCAGGATGTACACACTGCCAGTGCTGCGCAGTGTGAGTCTACCCTGCCAGCCTCCTGCGATGGGAAAATCAGCACCTTTCTAAGCCAAAGGTGGTGTCTGTGCTTTCAATAGTCTTCATGGACTCTTAAGAAGGTGTCAAAGTTATTTTTGAACCCTGCTAGACTTGTAATATCCATGACATCCTAATCACTATGAGGAAAATGGTCCATGGCCAGAAGTCTTACTTACAGTCACCTCACCACAAGTCCCTCTCTTCCCCGTATCTGATGATGCTGTAGTGCTCTCCGTCAAGCTTCTCCGTAGCCACCTCATTTCTGTTTCTGCACGTGTCTTTTGAATTCTGCAGTCCTGTCTTCCCCTGGTGCATCCTCACTCCTGCGACCTCTCCAGGAATGGTTTCTCTGGGGATCCATCAGCCTGTCAGAGCTGGGGTTGGGCCACATTCCCTTTAGTCTCCTTGCAGGCATGGATGTGCTCCGGATCAGATGACCTCTAAGTGCCTGCTTTTGCAACTGCTGTTAGCAGCCTTTGCAGACACTGTGAATCTTCAGCAATTAACATCGCAGTTGGGTTTACACTAGCATGACGGGGATGCTCAGATCTGTGCTAATGCACTGGACTCTTCTCCCAAACATCTGTTTATTGCTCTGCAATTTTGAGACCCTTGAGGTTGGGCAGCACTTTTTTTTCAGAGAAATAACCTAAGAAATAACTGGTGTTCTACAGACATGACTAGCACAAATACAATAATATCCCATCCCAAGTTATACCACAGTTCATGAAAAGCCAACCAGCATCAGGAAGTTTGGATGGGGTGAACCACACAGCCTCCCCCAGTAGGATGAAGTCAGTCCCAAGCACTGAACATCCAAAACAGACGTGCCATTTCTCTTTGGCACAGACCTGGGACCATCCCAAAGAAAAGGAGCAAACACTCAGCACTGGGGAAATGCCCGAAGTCTCTTCAGCATCCATGCAGGGAGGATCTCCCAGCAGTCCAAGAGATTAACTGATTAAATGACTGCATCATTAAATGATTTTGGATTCAACAGCCAGCCACGTGCTGCCAACCAGCTTGTGCACGCGAGGTTGAGCCTGCATCCTGAGGCTAGGACCCTCCTCTCTGGGATATGGACCCTAAAGGAGAAGGGACCAAAGGCATCATGTGGCCTATACAACACAGATTTGGCGACGTCACACCTGACAGATGTGTGCTTTAAGGGATCCACATGAGTGGTGTGCAACACCCTTAGGGAAAACCCCTCCCAGACATTCACTCTTTTTACCATGAAAATGCCATGTCCACTCTGGATCTTCCTTACTGCAATTCAAACCATAGCTTCCTTCCATGTTGGAAACAACTTTTTATATATTTGAAGGCCCCTTATCCACCAATTTTTGTTTTTCTTGCCTAAACCACAATTCTCTTGCTCCTTCCTTTTATTACATTGGATGTGCTTTAGTTGGCACACTTTTTTCTGTGAAGCATGGACCCAAAACTGGACCCAGTGCTCCAGCCTCGGCAACAGCAAGGAGAGCCAGAGAGGATCTCGCACAAACCTTGGAGCTCTTGTTTACAACTCTGGCAGAGTTTTCTGCCCTGCTTTTGTTGCACCACCTGCTGTGGACTTTGACCAGAACTGGCACCCCACTTGTTTCCCATCCCATACACTATTCCTTATTTCTGCCCACATGCAGGAACTTGCATCTGCTGAACAACAGCCTGGGCCTCAGATTGCACCTCCAGTTTATCCAACTTCTTCTAAAAACTAACTCTGCCTTTTAGCACCTTGCAGAGATGCCCAGTGTTACAGCATCTGTGTATTTAATAAGTGCATGCTATGGCACACCACTGAGGTAATTAGTGAAAATAAAAAGCAATCCCACAGCCCTGGTTTTCCAAAAGAAACAACATATTCAATCACCCTCAGAGTAGGAAAGTTTTCTCTTAGTTTTAAATAGAATTTCTTGTGTTTCGGTGTGAACCCATTGCCTCTGGTCCTGGCACTGGGCACCAGTGAGAAGAGCCTGGCTCCATCCTCTTGGAACCCTCCCTGCAGGTATTTATACGCATTGATGAGATCCTCCTGAGCCTGCTCTTCTCCAGGCTGAACAGTCCCAGCTCTCTCAGCCTTTCTTCATGGGAGAGATCAGTCCCTTTGTCATCTTTGTGGCCTTTCACTGGATCTCCAGTATGTCCATGTCCCTCTTGTACTGAGGAACCCAGAACTGGACATAGCTCTCCAGCTGTGGCCTCACCAGTGCTGCGTAGAGGGGATAGATCGCCTCCCTCAGCTTGCTGGCAACCCTCCTCCTAATGCAGCTGAGGATCCCATTTGCCTTCTTTACTGTGCAATCACATTGCTGGCTCATGGTCAGCATGGTGTCTACCAGGACCCCGAGGGCCTTTTCTGCCAAGTTGATTTCCAGCCTGTTGACTCCCAGCTGTGCTTGTACATGGGGTTATTCCTCCTCAGATGCAGGACTTTGCACTTCCCCTTGTTGAACTTCATAAGATTCCCGTTGGCCCCTTTCTCCAGCCTGTCCATATCCCTCTGGATGTCAGCACAACCCTCTGGTGCATCAGCCACTCCTCCCAGTTTTGTGTGAGCAGCAAACTTGCTGAGGGTATCCTCTGCCCCATCGTCCGGATCATTAACAAAGATGTAAACCAGTATTGGCTCCAGTACCGATGTCTGGAGCTTTCCATCAGTAGCCTCTAGCTGGGCTTCATGCAATTGATCACAACCATTTCAGCCTGGCAGTTGAGCCAGTTTTCAATCCACTTCACTATCTACTTATCTAGTCTGTTATCTCATCAGCTTGTCTATGAGGATGTTACAGAAGAGAGTGTTGAAACCCTTGCTAAATCAAGATAAACAATATCCACTGCTCTCCCCTCATCCACCAAGTTAGTCATTTCAGTGCAGAAGGCTATTAGCATGGCTTCCCCTTTGTAATCTATGCCGATTGCTCCCAGTCATCTTCATGTCCTTGCTGTGTTTGGAAATGGCTTCATGGATCATTGGCTCCGTGGGATTCACAGGGAGTGTTGCGAGCGACCTTGAACAACAGAGCCTTGAAGGAAATAGTCTGAGAAAGCAAGTAATGAAGCAAGCGCAGAAAGTGAGCTGAAGATAAAAATGTTTTGAAGCACAGCTGTGAGACCGAAACTAGAAGACACGTGTCTTGATTAACAGCACCAATTAAAAGCTTAGCCGCGGTGCGTGGACAGCAGGGGTTAACCAATCCATGAACAAACTAGGGCGCGTGGACAGCTAGTGAATCTATATAAGCACAAACAATAAAGGTCTTTGGTTTTACCCGTGCCAGAGTCCGTGAATCAATCCCTACAGGCTCCATCCCCTTCCCAGGGATCAAGGTGAGGCTGGTCAGCCTCAGCTCTCCAGACCTTCACTCTTGCCCTTCTGGAAGGCAGGAGTGACACTGGTTTTCTTCCAGGCCTCAGGAAGACAAGTGTGAGCTGATGGAGAGTGGCCTCGCAGACTCATTGCCAGCTCCCTCAGCACTCATGTGGGTGCGCCCCGTCAGGCTCCCTGGATCTGTGAGTGTCCAGTTTGTTTAAGTGCTCCCTAACCTGGTCCTCCTCTGCCAGACATAAGCCTTCCTTGCTCCAGACCTTCCCCCTGGTCTCAGGGGTCTGGGAGTCCTGAAGACTGGTCTGACCAGTAAGTGAAGGTGGTGAAGAGCTGAAGAGGGCATCGAGTACCGTGGCCTTTTCCATGCCTTGTGTCACCAGGGTCCCTGCCCCACTTAGCAGTGGGCCCATATTTTCTCTTGCTTTCCCTTTGCTGCTGATATACTTGTAGAAGCCCTTCTTGTTGCCAACAGATTCAGTTCCAGATGGGCTTTGGCTTTCCTAACCCCATGCCTATGTCCTTGAACCACATCTCTATAGTCCTCCTATGTCACCTGCCCTTGCTTCCACCTCTTGCACACCTCCTTTTCATATGCGAGCTCAGTTAGGAGCCCCCAGCACATCCATGCAGGCCTCCTGTCACCTTTGCTTGACTCCCTGTTCATCAGGATCCTTGAAAATCCATCAGCTCTCCTGGACCTCTCATCCCTCCAGGGCTGTGTCCCATAGAAACACAGCTTTCCAGCCTAGTGATCTTCAAAACATTCACCTGGGCAAGGAGCAACCTAATTTCGAGGGATCAGTTAAAGCCCTGACACATGAGATTTAAAGCCCCTCGGCTGACAGCAACTCATTATCCACAAATATCTGCACTCTGCTAAATTCCCAGCCTCGACAGCCTCCTGTGCCAATGACTTCCACAATCTAATAACAGTGCATGCAGGCCAGTATTCCCTTGCATTAGTCTCCTTTATAATTTCTGACTGTGTAGGAGTCAGGAAATGGAGAAAAGGATTTTCTAAATCAATTTTTTTAGTCAATTCATAATTATTTATAGACGTTTCCCCATAGTGGAATGCATTTTTTAATGAAGATGATGCCCAGGAATTGGCAAGACCAGAGTTTTTGAGAGGCTATTAGGTCAAACAGTTACAGATCAAGTGCCTTGAAAACAAGGAGATCCAACATAAAAGTTTTTTAAAAGTAAGCATTTCAAAGTATAGAGCAAAAAAATGGGAATGTCTTGGCTCTCAGCATCATTCCTTTCTACATATGTCCTACAGCAGCCTCTCTCTCTGAAGACAGTGTTTGTCAAGTAAAAATACAAGCCAGGCAAGATACAGGATAGGAGAGAACACTACCACTGGACAACTAAAGAAAATGGACCAATACTAGAAAATTCCATCATAATTATTTCTGGCAAGCCCTACAGCAAGCCCAGGCTCTCTGCTTAAGTCATTTTGATAAGCAGAATGTGGCAAATGGTGGGAAAACTACCATTTCCTCAACCTAATGGCTCCCTGGGTTCATTCCCCAGCACTTACAACATGCACCTCACAACAAGCCTGATTTTGTTGGCCTTCAGCCTCCAGCTCCTCCATCTCAGCAATGCAAGTATGGCTCAGACAGGCCCCCAGCTCCCCTCAGCATCCCGGAAGAGCATTGGCACAGTGAGGACGCAGCCAGCTTGCCTAGATCCCGAAAGGAGTCAGATGCCCTCCTGCAGACACCTGCGCATCTCTCTGTGGGCCCACAGGCAAGAGTGAGTGGCCTCGCTGTGGATGTCTAAAGTGGGGCAGATGAATTGCAGTCCGGTGGGAGGATGTGCTACCACGTCAGCAGACACCACTGGAGGTCAGTGTGAGCTAGCACCGCTGTGGAGTAGGATAGGGACGGGGAATTCCTACTGCCCTGGCTATACTGAGGTCCCTTTTTGGTCTCCCCAATCCCTCTTGATACAGTTCCAGACACAGGAGCAAGCAGCTGAGTCCCCCTTTCCCCACAATCGCTGATGTGGGGGTGGATGCACACAAATACATGCAGACACACACACACACACACACACGATTTTCATGCATGGTTAAGAAGCTCACGAGGGGAAACGATGCTCCGGTTTGGTAATGGGCAGGATCAGGCTCCAAACCTCCTGCTGGATGCACCGCACTGCATCAGTGACCACAATGTACTTAGGGGTAGCGTCCCTCCACGAGCAGCAAGGGCTGAAAAATCCACCACAGTCACGCTATGCTTCAGCAAAAGGACTACAGAAAATGTGGAAGAGCAAAAAGGAGCAGCAAATAACATCCTTAGAGGTGGCATGGAGACCACCAGAAAAGACCACACTGGGCATGTGGTCTGTTAGGAAAGGTGTGAGAAAGGGTGCAAGGAAGCTGGTATGGCTCAACAGGGAAGAAATATATTGTTGCATTAAAATATATTAGCACAGTGGGCTAAGAAGGCATGATTCAAAAAACCAGATCTGCTTCCAAACACGGAAAACAGAAAGACTCTTCACCTCAATCAGATCAAATGCAATAATTTAATCAGGCACACCAGAAATTGGCCTGAGGGGTAACTGATTAAAGGCATCAAAACTGGCACCAAATCCTTTTTGTGATGCATTAGGAGCAAGGCAGGCAGTCTGAGGGGCACTGATGTGCAGAAGGAGCACTCAAAGAGGTGTTTGCAGAGAGATTATTTGCGTCAGAGGCAGAAGAAGAAGGGATCCTCTTCCATGTGAGTTCAGATTTTCCCAGCCCTCAGGACCCCTTGGGTTCACCCTAACCACCCTCCCAACTCTGCCCAGGGT